TATTGAACCAATCAAATGGAAATTTAATTTGACTACAATTGACAATATCAGCGTAACTACTGTAAAATAACAGAATAGATGAAATAGATGCTTTTTTAATTAGTCTATTTAGTCTAAGTCTTTGTGCCAGTGAAGTATTACCATACCAGCAGGTGATGGCAAAGTTAATTAGACTGCTGATGGTTGCTGTATAAAAAAAGTTTAATAATTGTTTTGTCGATGTTAAAAAAAAACATTGTTGCAGTCGCTTCTGTTTAGGACTGGTGACGATCTTAGCATCCCGCAGGTCTTGTGGTACAGCACCTTCTTGCCAACATTTGCAGAGCAGTTGATTTAGAGGTTGGATTAGTGTTTAGACTTGCACTGCTTCAGAAGAGCTGGGGGGGGGGGGGGATACCATCGCATCGCATTTGTCGGCAGCCATGTTGTCTACGGCTTTGTTCAGTTATATTAGTGTAGGTACCAACTCACTCTGTCTGTCTCTCTGTCTGTCTGGTACAATTTTCGTATAAGTTATTTGACCCATACCCAATCTTGGATAAAGTTGAAGTTTTACTTAATTATTTCTTGAACCAAACTAAACAAGTATCAGTAATAAAAAAAAACAATTAGCTAAATTATTGTTGATAATTAATTATTTTGTTTGATATCAAACAAGGGAAATACATTGTGTTTGACAGATGTTGCGGTTTAAGTTAACTTAGTCCCCTTTATGTTTTGTTTAGAGTTCAATTTAAAAGTTTGAAACAAACAATATATTGCTATGAAACTTTCTATTTTCATAAGCACTTCGCTGGCACAGTGGTTAGTGTATTTGTTTGAGGAGGATTGAGCCTTCGAGTTCGAATTCAAGTCGTGCAACGTTGTTTTAAATATATTAAAAAAAACTATCACAGTAAAGTGACACAGATTCTCCCATTCTTTCCCCACCCCCTCCCCAAACTGGTCTAGACAAATAATATTACCATAGCGCATTGAAAAAGCTAAAAGCATGAAATGGCGCTTAACTAACAATTGGTAAAAATATTTCTAGTCGCACAGATTTATTTTGCTGGTCTAGATCTATTACAAATTTAATTACCTGACTGATCCAAAATAATTAATACAATTACACTTAAGATAAGCTTTGTTTTTTTTTTAAAGTATTTTTTATCTTCCTTGTTTTGTTTTAATTAGAATCAAAGCTTGTGGACAAAACACGAGCAATTTCCTGAAAAATGTCTTCTTTTATATAAAATCGAGAATGAATGCGAAAAAAGATTTCTTGTAATTTCACATCGAACTGTTGCTAGGCTAAAGCAAATCAAGCTGTTGTGTCACAACAGACGGTGGAACTCTTCAACATCGAGACAGATATGAGATTATGATGTATCTTATTCCCATTTCTCTTTCTTGCAGCCCTCGACGATGTCATAGAAATACATTCAACAGGCTGCATTCATGTTCACATAGCGAAAACTAATACTTGCTAGCCTCGTTGCTAACCATTAGATGCTCTGCCTATTGATGTTTTTATCTATTGAGTTGGTTTGTACGGAACAGACGAAGAGTTTTCAGACTTCCAGAAGAATATGTGCGGATTCAATGAGTTGCAAGACGTGCTAGAGCGAGCTTAGTGCCGGAGTTTATAGAGTTAGAAAACAGATTCAACTGTGAAAAATTTTATTGCATGTAAGCAGTATTTAGTAAAATAAATCCGACATTGACTGAATACACTTTTTTGAGTGTGTCTAAAAACAAAATGAAATGCAGATAGAACTTGTGTGAATTGAGGCTGGAGGTAAAAGAGAAATGAATTCTTGCGCGAGAGAGCGTTACGACGTCAGATTGATAACAAACAAAGGAAAAAGAGCTTATGAAATATTTAAATATTGAATCAAGAAGCCGAAGAAAAGACAGGGGGATTGTATTTAAAATTATTTTGTTTAGGACTGGTGACGGGGAAAGCTAGAAAAGTGAAACTAGAATTCTCAGGCCAGAAGTATATGTTTTGTGTGTGGGGGTGGGAGGTCGATAGAAGTGGGCCGCGTTGTAATTCAACGTAACAAAACCGTTTTACGTCAAGAATAGTCTTTCTCAGCTGCTCTCGAAAAGGCAATTGAAGCACTGAACAGGTTTATATCCTGCGAAACATCACCGAGCAAATCCTGGAATACCAACAAAGGATGTTGATCAGTTTTGTAGATTTTAAAAAAAGTTTGATAGCGTCCATCAGAATCACTCTGGAAAATAGCAAGAGAATAAGGCATCTCGCAACAATTTATCCAGACTCAGCGACCTGTCTAAAGCAAATCAAGCTGTTGTGTCACAACAGACGGTGGAACTCTTCAACATCGAGACAGATATGAGATTATGATGTATCTTATTCCCATTTCTCTTTCTTGCAGCCCTCGACGATGTCATAGAAATACATTCAACAGGCTGCATTCATGTTCACATAGCGAAAACTAAACCGACTTCGATTGTGCAGACGACATAATCATTACTTTGAAATACAATTAAATATATACAGGAGATGACAGATAAAGACGCCCCCAAAGCTATGCCTTTAGGGTGCAGGTTACCCAGTACCCGATCAACATTGGTCATACAGATCTTGAAGAAATAGAAAAGCTCAAACCTATTTAGGCAATCTCAAGTAATGGAGATACATATCTTGGTGTTAATGTCGAATTGGAAAGCAGGAGCCGTCTTTTAAAAAGTACGGCCTATCTGAACAAACCAATCAATTAGCCTGGAGATTAAAATCCACCTACTCAATACAATCATTGTCCCAACAGCCAGATACGCTTCGAGACGTGGAAGATTGAAAATAGGCTGAGTAGTGATGGCTGAGAAAGATCCTACGAATAACATACCGATATACTGTTATTGTCAGGACTGATCAGCCTGGGTCTCCTGAGAACTAGAGGGGAGAATGGGAGCGATTCAGGTTGTTGACTTCCAGATTGTTTTTTTTTTGGGTTGTTTTGTTTTGTAAGATTTTTTTTTTTAATGGAATGTAATTCATAGTAAAACGTGTGTTGTTATTTTTTTGTTTCTTCTCCAGGACAGTTGGATATTAGTTTATAGAGTAAAAGTATAGACTCTAATTATTTTGTGTATCTATTAGATGGGATATTGAGCTATTATATATTAATTGATACTGGACATTTCATTTGCCAGAACAGTGCCTGCATTATATCTATATCTTTAATAAACAAGTTATGTTATGTCTGTGAATCGGCATTCTTAATCTTCATTCTGTCGTTCTATTTGTCAACACGGTTATGTCCATGACTTGGGGACATTTGGTTGTCAGCATTGAAATACTCACAGACGTAGAGTAAGAAGAAATAGAACCTTGACAGTTACCTGTTGGGAAATCCTTTCCCCGACAGGCATGCGCAGTCTAAGGGAAGTTGAGACTGAACGTCGATGGACATTTGTTAGACATATCATTAGACAAGACGTTGACCAAAGTCCAGCCTTAACATGAAAGCCGAAAGAGAAACGCAAAAACATGACCGGCCACCTTTAGCATGGCTACACACCTTTTTAGAAGTTCGTGGGCACTTTGAAAGTTGCCTTAGACTGAATTCTGTTGAGATCTGTCAGCCCTATGCTTCGAATGTCGTGCGAGGGGCTTAAGTCTAAACATTTTGCAATAAAAAATGTTACATTCGCCACTTAACAGGTCAGATAAGATGTTTGGGGGAGCACTTTAAGGTCACTCAGAGTATTCCGAGGAGAAGCCCGGGCGCCAAGCGATTTTTCTACGTTTCTGAGCTTCAGAAACTCTTTCTCCTGGCGTCTACAACGCATAGAATGAAATTCAGAAGGTTTTTAGACATGTTGATACTAAACTGTGAGACACATTTGATATTTATTATTACATTTATGAAAAGAGTATTTCTCCAACTTGGGTGTTGGGTTATTTGCTTAGATAGGGTATGATATTACGGTTCCGTATCCCCACCCTGAACAGTATAAATGCAAGAACCAAAAGGTAATAACATACAGAACAACGAGCACCAAATAAATGTTATTCAACTAAACAGTTAATAAATGAACGGCAATTGTTCAACATGTACACTATTAATGTTAACAATAAGTAAACTTACACTAGTTAACAACCCAAGCGGAAGTTTAGCAATTTAATGAACAGATAAAGTATAAGGATAAAAATGATGAAGTCTTAATGGTATTTACAAAAGCAAGTACACATAATCCAATTATTTACAATAGACATAGCACACTTTAACATGCGGTGCCACAGTCAATCAGGGCTCGCGATGCCCTACAGACCAACAACTCTTACACCTCAACAACGATAGTTACGAATACTAACCCTCCTAGGGCGGAAAGGCCACACACTTTCCCATAGCCCAAAGCCTAACACCCTGAAACGAAAAGAAAACCTATGTCTAGCGATGCCGCTACAACAAAGAACTTTTCGTACCGAAAAATCACCCTCCTTAATAAAACTATGTACTTACGTACCGTTATTAATAAGGTCACAGGCTTCTTCATTAATAAATCAACCTTCATTCATAGATTCGCGCATTGGTAAAAAAAAATGTGTATCTAAGGTCACAATGGAAAAAGTATCAATGGATCATTATAAAATAGATTTTCTATTTATTAACTAACTCATGGAATAGAGTACTGATTCAAATGTTGTTTTTAAAAAGAATTTTAATGCGAACTTCGTTTCAATTATAAGTTTAAAAAAACAACTACTTTTTACCGCGCAGTTTTCACATACTCATTAGGCTATACATTTGACAACAATCTGAATCTAAATTACAATAGAGGCCAGATCTACATAGATCTATATACGAGTTCTAGTCTAGATTGTAGATTCTATATCAAGATTCTATATCTAGATCTAGACTTATAAATAGACTTAGAGACTGAGATCTATTTCTAGATCCTAACTTAGAGACTTAGATGATAGATCCAGCAAACTGAAAGCATAAGTAAAGATTTCAAATATATTGTTCATTTCGACATATGTTTCCGAAGTGTAGTGGCTATCACGTTCACCTAACACGCAAAAGGTCCTGAGTTCGAAACCCAGCTGCAAAATTATTATTTTTTTAGTTAATAAATATTTCTACATTTTTTTGTGAGTGACATCCTATAAAATAAATATGCATTTTTTGGATGATTTTTTAAAGTATATTTTTTTACAGCCTAATATGTTCTATCCTATACCAATGTCTAGATCTGTCCGTCTGTGGACCACTTCGGTGGCCGATTTTGAGTTTGTGTGTTGTCACGTATTACAAATTGAATTCTACTTTTAAATGGCTTGCCTAGGGGAACGTGACAATAGAAAAAGGTAGTTGTGTCACTTATCTTAAGTCTGAATTTAATCAGAGACTTACAATGAATAACAAAAAAAAATGACACAAGAAATCGGAAGGTAAAATATCAACTTAAGGTTAAATAAAATATAACTCGAATAGTACTTTTAACTGAATCATATAAAGTAAAAAAACAAAAACAAACATTTACTCAATACAAAATGGAAGGGTTGACCAAAACCCTTTTACAAAAAAAATGGCATGTAAAAATATTACAATACCAGAGTTTGAAAATATAATTACAAATACAAGCAAGGCCTTGAAAAAGAAAAAAAAATCTTAACTTACACTATCGATTGGTATACCACGCACGGGTCACGCAATGTCTCCGCTATTCTGTCTCACGGCTGTCTCCGTATGTCTGTCCGTCAACGTTACACGGGCGGTCTTTATATAATATACCGCGCGTCGATATCAAGACAAATCTAGTAATTTCTAGAACAGAATAAGTCATCAACACCCAGATCTAGAACGCTCTTCAAAGAGACAGAAAAAAAAAAAAAACCACCCTCCTTTCAACCAGAGGTACACACATAGGTCAAGGACCGGTCACTGTCTGTGTGGCTTGACTCGCCGTGAAAAATAAAATAAAAAAACTTATTACACAAGGGGCAGACAACCTACAGGTCAAGAAAAAAAATAGTATCTAGGTAACAATGCCTAGATACGTAACACCTCCCTCCTAAAAATAAAAAGTTTACATTTCCACGAAATGGAAATCTTTTTAGAATAATTACAAAAATGATATTTACATTACAGAATGTATTTATCATGATATATATAAAAAAAAATATACATCAAAATACTTTTTACAATCTAGATAAGGCATCGGCGATAACATTTTCGCTGCCTTTTATGTGTTTAAGATCTAGGTTGTACTCTTGTAAAAATAAACTCCACCTGAGAAGTCGTTGATTCTTGCCAGACATTTTGTGGATAAATGTAAGGGGATTGTGGTCAGTAAATACAACCAGTGGCCATCTGGACCACTGATATAAAAATCAAAGTGTTGTATAGAAAGAATCAACCCAAGACATTCCTTTTCCACAGTAGAATAATTTCTTTGATGTCTATTAAATTTCTTGGAAAAGAAACAAATAGGGTGCTCTACTTGGAAATTATCTTCTTGGTAAAGGACTGACCCAACACCTGTGTCACTGGTGTCAATAGCTAACCTAAAAGGTTTTCCGAAGTCAGGAGCCATCAAAATGGGGGAGCTAGATAATATCTGCTTAATTTGGTTAAAGGCTTTCTGACATTCATCCGTCCAAGTAAATCGGACGTTCTTCCTCAGGAGGTTTGTTAAAGGACTGGCAATGACATATAATATCCAGACATTCCCAAAAATCTTCGGAGTTGTTTCCGATCAGCAGGAATAGGGAAAGCTTGGATAGCTTCTACTTTGGCCATTACAGGTTTCACCTGGCTTTGTCCTACAATATGGCCTAAGTATTGGATGGAAGCCTGGCAAAAATCACTCTTACTCAGGTTTACAGTAATTTTTGCATGTAAAAGTTTAGTAAAAAGACAATGCAGTTGTTTACAATGGCTAGAAAAATCTTGGCTAAAAATTACTACATCGTCTATGTATGCGTGGCAATTCTCCATGTCAGCAAGCAGGGCATTTATCATTCTCTGGAAAGTGGCAGGAGCATTCTTCATGCCAAATGGCATCACTTTGTATTGGTACAGACCATCAGGGGTGACAAAGGCGGAGATTTCCTTTGCCCTATCAGTCAGGGGAACCTGCCAATAACCTGAAAGTAGGTCTATTTTGGTGATGTACTTAGCGTCACCAATACGATCTATGAGATCGTCTATCCTAGGGATAGGAAACGAATCGGTCTTTGTTACAGCATTTACCTTACGGTAGTCTGTACAAAAACGATAAGTCTTGTCCTGTTTAGGTATCAAGACACATGGGGAGCTCCAGCTACTGGAACTTGGTTCAATGAGGTCATTTTCAAGCATATACTTGATTTCTGACCTAAGTATGGCAAGTTTTTCAGGGTTGACCCTGTAAGGATGCTGCTTGACTGGAGTAGCCTCGCCAACATCTACATCATGCATTATAACATTAGTCTGTTTTGGTACATCAGAAAAAATGTCAACAGGGATCTTTTGATTTGGCTTGCCAACCATCTGACAGGCATGACAGGATCGGCAGTACTGGATGACATCTTTCTTCAAACGTGGCCAGAAGAAGTGTGACATAATCTTGTAGTATGTCTTGTGGATGCCGAGATGACCTGACATTGGTGTGTCATGAGCCAGATTCATGATGTACGCTCGGTATCTTTCTGGTACCACGATTTGATGGCATATTCTCCATTCTTCTTCGTTGGATGCGTCTGGAGGTTTCCATTTCCTGAAGAGCATATCATCTTGGATGTAGTAGCACGTTGATGCTAGCTCTGCCTCTTGTGATGTCATTGCGGTTTCTCGGAGTTTGGCGAGCTCTGGATCCTTCTTTTGGTCCTCAATCAACTGTTTTCGAGTTGATGCCGGCTTTTCAGAATTTGGCGTTGGTTCTTCTTCAAGAGAAGCAAAGAATGTGGTGCTCAAGTCCACATCATCGTGGTTACTGTTGGCTTTGATGACGTTCTCTTCTTGAGATGCTTTCAACCTCATTGCCCTTGTTACTGCACACGCTGGATATAACTCTAGGTCTTCCTCGGGTGTGGCAGATAAGTCGGGTGTTTGAGTGACGATGGGTTCGGCTATCACCTTTCCACCTGCTAAGTCATTGCCTAACAGCAACGAGATGCCTTCCAATGGTAATGTTGGTCGGACACCTACAACAACCGGTCCAGTAATGAGATTTGACTTTATGTCGATTAGATGTAGAGGCACATCTATACATCCAAGCTCTACGCCTCGTAACAGGATGCTCTTCCCAGTCGATGATGATTTTGACAAGGGCAAGATACCCTCTAAAAGTAGCGATTGTGAGGCACCTGTGTCTCTCAAAATGGTGATAGGTCGTAGACTTGTAGAATCACCGGGTAGTGATACGAATCCTTCCGAAATGAAAGGCTTAAAATCCTCTAATAAAACATCAATTTTGGTTGATGCAGACTGGACTTGGGTCGAACTCTCGCTGGAGTCATTGACATCTCTAGGAGACGCAGTGGAGAAACTCTTTCTTGAGTCAGTAGAACATCTTTTGGATGTATTTGGAGAACTCTTGATGGAGTCATTGGAACATCGGGGTGATGTCTTATGGGAACTCTTGATAGAGTCATTGGAACATCGGGATGATGTATTATGGGAACTCTGGATAGAGTCATTGGAACATCGGGGTGATGTATTATGGGAACTCTGGATAGAGTCATTGGAACATCGGGGTGATGTACTAGGTAAACTCTTGTTTGAGTCATTGGAACATCGGCTTGATGTATTTGAAAAACTCTTGTTTGAGTCATTGGAACATCGGCTTGATGTATTTGAAAAACTCTTGTTTGAGTCATTGGAACATCGGCTTGATGTATTTGAAAAACTCTTGTTTGAGTCATAGGAACATCGGCTTGATGTATTTGAAAAACTCTTGTTTGAGTCATTGGAACATCGTGGAGACATTTTCGGAGAGTCTTGTACAGTCAATACATTTGAAACAGGTGGTGTCGAGTTATTCTTGATATGACTTGATGATGAGGGAGTAAACCTCGACGACCACTGTACTGTGCAAGCGCTGACTTTCGACGGAGCTTTTTCGTTTCTCTTCCTCAATTTCCAGCAATCGTCAATTTTATGGCCTTCTCGTTTGCAGTAGGAACAAGTAGCTTTACTTGTAGTAGGTTTTCTGTCATTTGTACTGCTGTTTTTGATGGAGTTGTTAGCAATGGACTCAGGCTGTTTGACTTGTTTTGGCTTGACATCCGTCGTATACTTGGCAAATTGATGTGATATTATATAATCGTCTGCCAACACTGCAGCCTTGTGCACATCTTCCTCGCCACGATCAGCTATATGCGTACGGACGTCCAGCCGCACACAACTCTTGAACTCTTCCATCAGCATTAGGTTCTTGAATTTTGCAAAGTCGGTGCCGATTTCCCTGGAAGTGAGCCATTTCTCAAAGCGTCGCTCCTTTTCCCGCAGGAATTCTACATGGGTTTGGCCATCCGATTTGCGACAATCCCTGAACTGCTTTCGGTAAGCTTCCGGAACAAGTTCATATGCCTTAAGAATTAAGGCCTTAACAACATTATAATCTTTTTGTTGTTCAATGGTCAAAGAACAAAATACCTCTGCAGCTCTACCAGTCAAAACTGTTTGCAGCAAAGTGGGCCACAAAGTTTCAGGTACATTAAAATTTTTCACAGCAAGTTCAAATTGTGGAAAATAATTGTCAATTGTGGCTTCATTAAAGCGTGGAATTATTTTCAAAAATTTTATTGCTTCAACAGTATGACTGGCAGGGGAAGAATCTGGTCTTACATTAGCAGCTAACTCTAATTTTTTTAACTCTATTTGTAATTTCATTTCTATTTCTTTCTGCTCTCTCTGCTCTCTAGCCGCTGCAAGCTCTAATTCTTTTTGTTTAATTTCTTTCTGCTCTCTAGCCGCTGCAAGCTCTAATTCTTTTTGTTTAATTTCCTTCTGGGCTTCTATTTCCATCTGTTTTAATTTTATCTGAAGTTCTAAATCTGATTTACCCTCATCGGGTCTAAGGGTCTCTAAAAGGTCTTCAGAAAACACTTCCTCGTCTACATAATG